CACACACACACACACACACACACACACACACACACACACACACACACCACCAGTTTCACAATCAACCAGCTCTTCAATATTCCCTGCAGGCCTGACAACTTTACTCCTTATTCAATACAGCAGCCTCGGGCTGATAAATCCAACCGGACACACGAATTGACTGATTAAATACTTCAAAGACAAAACCAACGAAGGAAAGTAGAGGAAGAAGAAAAGAAGGAGCCCTAATACATCTCAACACTCCCATCTTGACATTGTGCTTTGTCATTTTTACTGAATATATCCAAATCAGTTTTGGGAAATTCAATAAACTTGACATATTTTCAGGTCTCCAGTTTATCTTCATCACATCAAAGGCATTCTTCATCGGCTTTTTTTTGAAAAGAGAAAAAGTACGGAGGTTCTGATGTGTTTTTGACTTCACAGCGATGTCACAACAAAGAAAAGAAAAAGGTTGTTGATGTCATCATCATGTTTAAATGCTGCTGTTTTCCATCAATAGTGGATTAAGCATCACATTCACAAACACACCCGCGCACACTCACCACCCTCACAAACAAACAACAAAAACACCTCGCTGTTATAGAATGTTAATCATTCGACGTCTGCAGCCACTTGGTTCAACTCAACATCTCACACAAGGTCCATCTGGTATTTGTTCAGGATCTATACTTTCATAATGATTAGACAAACTGCATCGGCTGCTGAGGATCATGTGGTACGGTTGAAAGTTGCAGAAGACCTAACGTTGTCTATTGTCACCCACATCTCCTCAAAAACAGCAGCTTGGTCATTATCCTGAGCTTCAAACTGTGACACTCTACATGACGGCCACGTTGTTTAAAGAACAATGACGTTGAGTTGCTAAGTTGTGTTGGTTGCATTGCTGATGTTACTAAGTCGCATTAGCGCGTCATGTCACCACGTTGTGTTAGTCGCGTTACTAAGTCTTGTTAGCACTTTGCGTTAGCATGTTGTGTTCGTCGAGTAAGCACGTTGTGTTAAGTGACTCAACCTTCTTAACTTCGTAACAAACATACTTATATTAACCCAAACCACCAAAAGTAGCCGGACAGTGTCACATAGACGAGGACATTCTCACTGAGAAGTCACAGCTAAAAAAGTCTGCAACGCTCCCATCTCTGCCTCTCGTAAATTATGCATTTCCAGAACCAAAATTTTCGGAGCCGAGAGGAAAGTTTGTTTGTTTGTTTTTTTCCTCCTCTTCTACATTGTGAATCCATTATGAGCCTCGTCTCTGTTTGCTCTGCGGCTCAGCTTTTAATCATGCTCCACGCTCCGCCCATGAAACATTGATGGCCTGTGTTTCTGAGCGGTGAATCTTTCAGAAGGCCCGGGGACGGAGGGGAGCAGGGATTTTAATCCAAACTGCGTTTTCTTCGTGTTTACACTGCCGAGCATCGCCCCGACGACCACCTGACGAACTCGAATGTTTTATTCTGATAAAAGCACGAGGAGGATCTCCACCGCAGTGGTGCCGCTTTTCATCCCTTAAAAAACAACACATCTGTGGTTTTAAACAATTTGTTTCTGTTTTGTTTGGGTGTTTGGAGACAGAAACAACAAGTCTGGGCACAGCTGAGGCTCCAGTGTGGACAAAACAGTGTTTGTGTTTGACCATTGGAAAACAGAGCTCGTCTTTAGTACTTCTTCTTCAAGATCTTTTCTCCTCACAAACTTTCTGTCTTTTCTCTAATGCATCTAAACATCTGAAGGACACAACGTTAACGGCAGCTATGGAGGATCAGTAGAATAGTTCGATTCATAAATCATCTTTATCGAATCTTTAAGTCGTATATTATTCTTTCAAAAGCACTAAAAGCTCATTCATAACGCCTCACTCTTCACTTCAGCTGATATCTCTGTCGAGGCACCGGGACACACACACAAAAACAAAAAGAACTGGCGGACAGATAAAGAAAAGCAAATGTAAATGTGAATGTTGGACTGTGTCACAGATGTGACGGATGTATTCACCTTCATGTGTCGTCGCCTCCGTCTGAAGCGCAGCAGCTCCTTGTGTTGGCGGGCGATGAAGTTGACGGCGGCGTACTCCAGCAGAGCCGAGAACACAAACAGCAGACACACGGCCATCCAGATATCGATGGCTTTGACGTAGGACACCTGTGGAGGAGGGGAGGAGGTGTTAGAGGAACAGGAAGTCACATCATAATGATGCTGAACGAAGCCACTCCGACAACGAAGGAAGTGATGCCTTCAAGTTTAAAAAGTTTCCAGCTTCAGACTGTCCTGACAGTTTCTCCAAGTTTCCAGAGTACAGTTTTTTTGCACTCAATACACTGCATATAATATTTTACTCAAATTTATATCTAGAGTGGTCAGCTGTGGGTTAATCCAGGTTGGACAGGGCGACTGTTTATGAGAAGTGGACCTGATCATCGTGATGTCACCCTTTGGTTTGTGGACTACGGTTTTGAAGCCCTCGAGTTCGGCATTTTCGGTCGCCGCCATCTTGTTTTTGTTCAACCAGAAGTGACCCCAGAGGGTGGAGTTAAGCACAACCGAACAAAATGTTCCTATTAACTTTTATGAAGTGAAAACACACTATGAAAGGGTTAAAGTTGTAAGACGAAAACATGGACAACTACCAGACCGGACAACGCTATGCATAGACCTGTCAATCACCGTGTAGCCCCGCCCTGAAGCATCCCCTGCTTTATGGTCTGTTTGACTCTAAATGGACCATAATGTACTAAATGAACATCATGCTGTATTGAAGAAGACTTGAAACTAGAGATTGAGACCATAAACTCATGTTTACAATGTTTACTGAGGTAATAAATCAAGAGAGAAGTAGAGTCATTTTCTCATAGACTTCTATACAACCAGAGGAGTCGCCCCCTGGTGGACACTAGAGAGAATGCAGCTTTAAGACATGTTAAGGTATGTGACCTTGGGTCGGATGTTAAACCACTGAGTGGGAAACCTTGTGGTTGGAATGAGTTACTACATGAACATATAAAGATATACTAGCTGCATATAGTTAAAGTAGATTGAACGGACTAAACAGACAGATGGCGAAACAGCTACATTACAACCAATCAGCACATAAAAGCAGTCGAGTGTCAGCAGCTTCGACGTACGAAGAGTGAAGCAAGATGGACAGTTTAAGGGCTGTCCAGATAATAAGTGCTAAACGGAGTCTGGTTGGATCATTGTCTGATTGCTATCTGCCCGCCAAGTGTCATTATTCAAGTGCATTCACCCCGGCCTGTCATAACAACTCTGTGCCTCCACACGGTATTACACTGCGCCGCCTCAGACGGAGATCCCCGTTCTGACACACAGAGAGCAGAAAACCCACAATCAGCCGTTTAAGATCCAATTAAACTATGACTTCGGATCACTTTCACAAACATGCAGCAGCGCTTATCATCGCCGCTCAGCCTCCTTGTGATTCATGACCGTTCGCGCCGAGTCTGATGCACATATCTCGAATGCACGACTGATTCCCACCCCCCCCTTCCCCCCGTGAACTCATTCACTTGGGTTGTTGGTCATCCAGGCAGAGAGAGAGAGAGAGAGGATTCTTAGAGTACTCCATTTTACTGACAGAATACAAATAATAACAAAAAGACATAAAACAGATCTTAAAGGTATTTACATTTTTGGATTCTGTATGTTTTGCTATAGTATGTTATTTTTCAGTTGTTTGGATGGAAATAGAAGATGAATTAAATATATTTGGATCAAAAGCAAGATGAAGAAAACACATTTACATGAAGCAATTTGAAAGAATCCCTTTAAATGTCCCTTTTCCTGCCTGAAAATCCTTCATTCTGTAAACAAAATGCATCCTTCTCTGAAAGGTGGTTGAAAGGCATTCTGGGAAAGTAACCCACTGAGTGAAGTAAATGAAGCAGATGCAGGGAGAGTGGGTACAACAAATTGTTGTCTCTAACCATCATGTCTCTAATCAGTTTATTTCCTGGTGTCCATTTAGTTTTACTGCCAATTAAAGCTTGAGAGCACGAAATGTCCGAAATAAGCTGAACGAAGCCTTTTCCTTATTGTGGTCGTTAGATTTAGATTCAGTACTCAGAAGATCTTTAAAGTTAGATACTGAAAGTATTGAAAGCAGCCGGTAGATCCTTGATTTTCGGAGTTTGGGTAGATCTTAAAGGTATGATTCATAGATAAAAATTCAAATTCGATGAACACAGTCAGTGACGGCATTGAATCATCAAATGATAAACTCTGAAGGTGGGCAGACTGGAAGCAGGCGGGCTGAGCTAAAACAAACCGAACTCAAACAATCCTGTTTGAGTTCGAGAGCTTCTGACAGACGAACTGACCAGCGGCGGCATCCTGAACGGCAGCTCAGGTGACGTTACTGAACTCACGCTTCACAGGACAATGTTCAGAGAAGAAGAAGGCAGCGGAGGGCTGCGACCGCCAGCGAGCCAGGCGGGCTTTTATTTACAAGGATGGCCGTCAGCCGTGCATCATATTCATCATACGGCCTCCATACTGTGTACAACATCACATGTGTGTCACGCTACGTTCATCGCATGTACGCCTCCTATAGTGTTACATCCTCGTTATAGTGTCAGTTGTCTGCCAGAATCCTTTATGTAGGTTTATCTTAAGAGGGACACAGTATTAGTTTAATATCAACTGTCATTGTACAGTACTTTAATTGAATGAATGTTGTGTTCCATCTTAAATGGTATCGTAAAGGTCTTAAAGGGACAGTGTGGAGGATCTGGTGGCATCTAGCGTCGTGGTTTCAGATTTTGAGGTCATCCTTTCCATAATAACACGACTTTAGGAGGTCAGACGGCCGGTGGCGGTACCACGGTTTTGCACTCTGTGGCTCTAGTTACCACAAGCGTGTCGGAGAACTACGGTGGCCTTCAGGTTCATTTTTACTATGAAATCAGATAAAATTCTAAATATCCATAAAAGTCAGCCACAATAAAAAGAGCCAGTGTTTGGTTTGTCCGTTCTGGGCTACTGTAGAAACATGTTGGACTCTGGGAAGAGGACCTGCTCCCCATCTAGGTATGAAGGGCTCATTCTGAGCTAACGAAAACACAACGATTCTTAGTTTCAGGTGATTACACACTAACGAAGACATCGGTGTGAATAGAAAAGGAGAATGAACAGGAGGAGCCAGAGACAGAGTCCCCGGGATCAGACATGTCAACAAAGACGGCATCCAAACTGTGACGCATCACCTCGTAGACATCGTTGAACTTGTCGAGAGAAGGTTAAATCGTATTTTAGATTCATTAATCTTTCCGTCGGAGCCTCGTGAGGCGTCGTGGACACAGAATCAGTTGTATTTTTTCTTCTGACAAACAGAATAAAAGGACAAATCGCTCACCTTCAGACTGACATTGTGTAATTTAGGAGCTTTCAAACCTCATTAAAGGTGTTATTGTGTCGCAGTAGTGTGATAACAGTAACAGTATTCTTCTGCTTTGCTAAAAATCTCTCACACAGTAATATTTCCTCCTCCTGACTTACCTCCTTTCCTCATCTCCTTCGCCTGACATGGTTCATCCCTCCTCTGTGGCGTGTGAGACGAGCCGTGTGTTTATGTGTGTGTGTGTGTCTACTATCAATCACACACACACACACACACGTACACTCAGATGTACGTGTGTGTGTGTGTGTCTGAGCAGTATGCCCACCTAAGCTCAGCTGTGCTGTGTGATCATTATTGTGACAGCTGAACTGCAGAGGAATCACGGTTCACTTGTTCAATTTTTGGAGCGCATGAAGCACCTAATGTCAACAAACACTGTGTGTGTGTGTGTGGGGGGGTGTGTGTGAGTGAGTGTATGTGTGTGTGTGAGTGTGTGTGTGTGTGAGTGTGTGTGTGTGAGTAAGTGAGTGTGTGAGTGTGTGTGTGAGTGAGTGAGTGAGTGAGTGAGTGTGTGTGTGAGTGAGTGAGTGAGTGAGTGAGTGTGTGTGTGAGTGAGTGAGTGAGTGTGAGTGAGAGTGTATGTGTGTGTGTGTGTGTGTGAGTGAGTGTGTGTGTGCGTGAGTGAGTGTGTGTGTGCGTCTGCGTTGGGATTACAGCTTCCCTGGACATAATTATACAATCCTGGCTCATGCAAAGTCTGGACGTTTTTTTTTTCTCCCTTTAATCTGAAAATCCCTCACAGGAAAAGATTTCTCTCGGTTTTTAAAAAGTTTCTTTGAACTTCGTCTGTTGATTGTCTCTTTTTCTTCTTCCCCTCCATTTCTCTCTCTCATTTCTCCGTCTGTCTGCCTCTTTGCTACCATACACTTCCACTTTATTTTCCATTTCCTCACCATTCTGTCTTCTCTTCCTCTTCATCCATCTTTCCCTCTTTTTTATATAATTCCTCTTTAAATCTTTAATTTCACCTATAAATGTCGCATTCAGCGTTCGGTTGTACTAAGCTCCTCCCTGTTGTTTCATTTCTGGTTTCAGAAAACCAAGATGGCGACGGGCAAAGTGTCGAACTCTAGGCTTCAAAACGTCATTCCACAAACCAACGGATGACATCACAGCGGCTACGTCCACTTCATACATACACTTCATGCTTTAAACATTCATTCTTCAGCAGAACTTTAAGCTCTTTGTATATCTTTCATCTTTTTGTGCCAATCCCTCATTACATTTGTTTGTTTGAAATGTTCAACATCCGCCATCCTCAAACTTCAGGACAAACTTAATGTTTTTCATACGTACATTTTTTTTTGCTGTACTTTCACAAAAATAAAGTTTTCCTTCAATGTTTGGTCAGTGAAAGGTGCGTTTGATTCGTCCTCACCTTGGGCAGGGAGGCTCTGGAACCAGAGCTCTGCGTGGTCATGGTCAGCACGGTGGTGATGCCCAGACCCACCCGGGCGGGCGCGGCGTCCATGTTGATCCAGAAGGAAACCCAGGACAGGATGACGATGAGCAGCGAGGGGATGTACATCTGGATCAGGTAGTAGCCCATCTGACGCTCCAGGTGGAAACGAGCCTCGATACAGGTGAATTTACCTGGGGGACGGGGGTGAGGGGGGGGGGGGGGGGGGGGG